CTTCAACTCAAAAAAAAAGGTCCTCAGTGTGACAAGCTGTTCCTCCCCTTGGTATTCTGTGATCACAGACACACCCCTTACCTATTTCTGGGTTGTTGAGAGGATAAAATCATTGATATAACTCCTAGAGGCTGACCTAGAATGAATGCAGAATAAATGCTGCTATTATTTATAATAGAACCATGAGGTAATTACAAATTCTCCCTGATCATTAATTCTTGAAGGTCTTTTATTGACATTTTACTTGCTATAGTGTGTTTCTGTATATGTGTAAAGGTAATAAGACAATTATGCTATAAATTGCACTATTAATGTATTCCAACTAGACTTCCCTCAAATTAATACTAATTAGTGATGTTTACATGTAATTTCAATAGGGACTAGAGTGATATTTGCTTTGCGGTACCACAGGGAGGGAAACATTAGTGGTTGTTTTTTTTTTCCTTAAAGTATAAATGGAGGATGCTGACATAAAGACCAAACAATGACTTTAAGCATTTATTAAATCATGTTGTGTGCTGTTTCTTAACAATGAAAATATCATTTACACTGCCAAGCAGAAGAAAGACGCTTCTGGCCTGATGCACCAAGTAAGGATGGAAAAGTCAGTCTCTATATTCTCAGTGGAGCATTATAAGTGTAAAAAAGTTTTAAATATTAAGAAATAAATCTAGAATCTGCTTCCAAAATGTATAATAACTTGAGCTTGCCTTAACAACATAGGATACATCAATCATCTTCTACTTTAAGTTGTTAATACAAGAAAGCTTAAAGAAGGCGGGGGAGGGCTTTGCTGCTTCTATATTGGCAACATGGTTTATTATTTTCAAAAATCAAAGATGTTACTATCCCTTCTAGTGGTGAAACGATTCAATAAGCTCCACCTGTACAGAAATCAGAATTTCCCAAACTTGCCAACCAGAAGAGTCACCTGCTTAAAAAACACATTCTCAGACCACTACAGGAGATCAGTATTTCTAATAAGCAGCTCTAGTAATTAGACAAGTTTGTCTAATTACTGGCAGTGGTTCTCAGCCCTAACCACTCGCGAGCATCTCTTGAGAAGCACAAAAAAGCAGCAAAAGCAGCAACAATCACTGATGTCCAGGCCCCACCCCAGATCCATTAAATCTCCTGAGTTGTCCTGGATATTGATTTGTTCCAAAAGTCACTGAGATGATAGTAATAGGTAGCCAGTGTCATCAGGGCTAGCAGCACTGGCCACTTCTGGGAGTTGGTTAAAAACGCAGGATCTCAGACCTGCAGACCCCTAGAATGGCCATCTATATTTTAACAAGATCTTCAAGGGATCTGTGTACACATCTAAAGTTGACAACGTTGTTCTAGTGCACATCAAAGGAAAGCAGATCTTTCCACCAAGAGGATGGATTTTTTTTTACTCCCCCTCCCTTCTCCCTTTGCACCACCACAATTAAAGCAGCTTACAGTCTTGACAAAGGTCTTTTTCTTTATACACTTGGCCACTTAAAGCCAACTGAAGAAGGATAGAGTGAGGCAAACCTATCTGTTCCAAAATCATTTATGAAGGTATGTTAAGCAGTGTATACTGCTCTTACCCAAATGCCCCAGCATATTTTAATTGGCATTTTGTTTCATGTCCCATAATCAAAGACATTAAGGATCACTAACATTCACATCCGTGAATTCATTTAGACAGTTTTCTTTAATTAACGATGAAGACACTACAGTTCTAAGTACCAGACAGAATCAGGGGGAAAAAAAATTGAAAATAAGCATACCACTATAAAGAAAACTTGGAAAACACTTCTAAATAAAAAATATATACCTGGCCTGGTACTCATTACATATATACATAATACATATGTTATACACATATATACAATAAATGTTTTGGTAGCAATACAGACCATGCATTGGTCTTTTTGTACACAGATGAAGTAGCACCATGAGCAGCACCACCATCTTAAGATGATAAACCAAACTGCACATACATTAAATGAAAATATATATGTATTTAATTTGGCCCACCCTGTAGCCAAGAGGTTTAAGGAGAGTACTTCGCAAGAAAAATTGTTCTGGGAACTACATTCTTGAGCCAATGGCAAAGTTCTAAAAAAAACAGGCCTAAAGATGTCTACGCAAATACAGATAAGTTTTCCTGTTTACTGAGTTTGTCCTATCTTATGGCATATCAGTTAATACTGGAAAAATTAACAGCATAAGCAAAGAGATTGAAATGCCAGGTGAATGGCAAGTCTAAAACACCAGCTCTCTTGGTGTATAAATCACGAATGCCAAGTCATCGACAAACTAGAAAAGGAAGATAACTCTCCACCTAAGTCATAAGTTTTCTACTCATATTAGCTAATTCTAGCTCTTTATTAAAGATAAATTCCTTAAGACTAGGGTCAAACACCTCCAATATCATTTACCTTCTCCCTGTACCTAATGTGATTCTCTGTTTATAAGCAATGAGTGAAGCTCAACAGGCCATCTGACCCACACAATCTCTACCCACGCTTAGGAGACTGACTTATAGGCTTGGCCTTAGAAATGACCCAAGGTACCAGTGTTTACCCTTGATGTTTTACTGACCACAAAAGAGTTGTTTTTGCTCTCCATAACTGAGCTTGCAGTCTGGAGGTCTTTCTCTTAGTCTTGGCAAGGTCATATTTTCTCAATCCCTAGAAAAGCATACTTGTTCCTCTCAAGTTTCTCAGCAGCCTATATAATGAATACAGGGTTACCTCCAAGGAACACTCATGGCATCCTAGGAACAAACATTAACTGCCCTGTCAAGTCACTGCAAAGAAGCATCTCATATTTGACTTCCCCATTCTCCTTTGCATGCCTTCCAAAGGGTTCCATCTCTCCCCAGTCAAGGTCTTAATTTCCAGTGTCTGCTTTCAGGGCTTCCTCATGCCATGGACTGACCTACAGAGCTCCGCAAAAGTAGTGTAATGCCAAATATGGATCATTGTCACCAGCAGTCAGAGCACTTCACATCAATACTATTTTTCATGGCTCTTATTGTCAGTGGATGAAGAGGGCTCTGCCCCCCCCCCCACGCCACCTTTTAACCACCTGTATTAAAGTTTCCAACCACATGGAATATTGTATTCAATGTGCAAGACTGAATAAACAGGACTTCAGGATTGTTTCTTACAGTACAGCAAAATTGTTTCTTAATACTTTAAATGTCTCAAATTTTAAAATCGGCTAGAAGACAAAAGCCAGAGAAAGGAAGGTTTAAAAATCTCTACTTCTGGCTAAATGATTTTTAGTAGATCAATTTTTGCAGTCACTGGAATAGTCAAGAGAGTCCCTGACCTTTGAAAGTCAGAGAGAAATAGCCACAAATGTAACATCAGTACTGATTTGTCATTATTGACTCAGGTGGTTGATCATTAATGGATTCTCCTTACTTCTAGCTGGTTCTAGGGCCATTCTTTCACCCAGAATGAAGATATCATCAAAGTCATGAAACATATTTGTTCTTTTCACAAAGGAGAATTTAAAAACTCGTCCTAAGTTTAAGCAAGAATGCTGTGAAAGGTTGGACTTATGAAGAAAAAGCCCCTAACTTCTAAGTTAACCAGAGGCCGCTAGAAATCTCATTAATGTAAGCCCTTGGCTGGCCTACAAATATCTTGAAATGGATAAAAGCCAACTCTCTGCAATAGGAACTGAATACAAGTTCTTAGCAGCTGATATTGCTCCAAGTAAACCCTTCGTGTAACCAGAGCATGAATTTGTGGCCTGAGTAACAACTTCCAGTTGTAAATCAGTAAAGTTTGATACCACCATCAAACCCAGCTCAGGTACCACTAGAAGCAGCTTGAATAAGAATTTCTACCTTTATGCTATTTGACACAACAAAAAGTCAGAAATAGAAACCAAGAGATGGATTTTCCAGTCTGTGCATTTCAGTTCTCATCCAAAATATATTGATAATCCCACATGCAGAGGTATCTTGATGATACATATTCAAAGTGTAAGTTTCATAAGAAATTATAATCAGCTTTACAGGAAAATGGCTGGGGCTGACTTTGTTCATTTATTTCTCTTTAACTACTTAAGTCCTTAATGGAAGACAGCAAGCAGCTTGCTCTTTTCTTCTACCCACAAGATTATGAATTGGAATACTTGAAAAATGAAAAGTTCGTTTGGCTAAGAAAGTCTTTTTTACAAAAGAATAAAAAAACAACTTTCATATCAGATTTTCAAAACTGGTAGTGTTCTCTACTAGGAAATGATGTAATTTAGCAAGTTCCTTGAAAACAATGGATTCTTATGACTATAGACCTATTTATCTTAGAAATTGATGAGCATGCAAATGATTAAAATCTGCAACAATGAACATTGTACAACGGTCTGTGAAGTACATGCCATCTGGTTGAATTAACAGTAACATAGGCCTCAGCAGTGTGAGGGGTTCCATTGATCTCCACTGCTTTTTGGGTAGAGCCGGGGTCCCTGACCAGCTGATCAGTGGGCAGCAGTCACTGCAATGCCCTCCAACCCTGGCCCCTTCCTTGTAGTCCCACCCCTGCTTGGGAGCTCAACCCTTCAGAGAAATGAAATTTTGCTCTTCCCAACAGCAGGGCTGGGGATGCCTGATATAGAGTTTATACTGACTCAGAGGAAGCCTGAAACTTGTGTTAATTCACTTAACCTTTAGGAATTTTCCTGATAAAAAGATTAACACTCTGTCAGCAATATCTTTAAGTGTATTCATTGCCTTCTTTTTCACATGGAAAAATTCCAAGATGTCTGTATCCTTTCCAAACAAGAAAAGAATTAACATTTTCACTGCTGGCTAGACATCTCAATAGCAGGTCATTATGCTTTTACATGCTCTCCGCACTGTGTTTCATTAACTAATCACTAATAGGCCAGTACCCACCAAGGCAAATGGGCCAATTACATTCAGTTAAACAATGTAACACTGGAAGTTCTCAAAAAACATGAGATAAGAGTCTTATGGAAAGTGACATGTAGCCCCTGGTCATGATTTTTAAAAAAAAACCTTTCTGGAATTTTAATTTCTGGTTAGCAAGCACTCACTTATCTTACTATCTTTCTCAAGACAATGCAGGAAATGAAATATCAGAATGTGTGCACAGAAAAAAAAAATGGAACAGAGCAGGAAACTTACAGAAATTGGGGTGGGGAGGGAGAGAAGAAAAGATCAACAGTATCTAGTTTATTATGAATAGAAAGACATTTGCAGAATTTACAAACACCCACATTGTTCATTCCAAAGAGAGCTTTTGATTTGAAGGAATCACCCATGTCTCCTTCTCTTTACAATATATACAATGGAAGACTTTGATTTCCTTTTCTTGTAATTTTGCTTCCATTCAGTTGCCAATTTTAACTTGAAAACACCCAGTAGACTATATCCTTCGTCAGTTTACTTAACATGTCCTATTGTCTTACAGGAAAAATACAAAATTAAGATTGCTTCTTATAAGGAACTCAGCTCAACATCAGGTTTATATTACACGAGATAGTATCAGCAAATATAATTATACAATTGAGAACCATCTATGGCACTATGATTCTTATTATATTATTTTTCTGAATTATAATCTTAAAACAAGGATCATACCCTATTCTACTCTTTTTAGCCTTGTTTTAAGCATATGCTCCACTCTTTACAACAGAACATTGTATACCTCAGTCCCACATCCAAAAAAAAGATGTGCTGTAAGAAAAGTTACATTTTCATTTAAAAAAGTACACGTATAAATCAAAACCTATGTTAAATATTTAATACTCTCTCCACTCAATGTGAACAGTTTCATATGAAATAATTTACAAAGATGCTTTGTCGTACACAGTTTCAGCAGCAGATGAAATGTATCTTGCAAATGCAGTGAGAGTCAACCCATTTTCTCGTGGCATGGTGGTGGGCACATCAGCTCATTGTGGCCAGCTAAGTCCTTACAGTTGAAGATGAAGTTTATGCAGACTCATTGTTCTGGTGTCACAGTGCTTTTTTGCTTGGCACAATATAGAACGTGCAGTTCAGTCAACAAACTCCTGAGGATTGTATAAAGTAAACAAACTGAAATGGATGCATCGTACCATCTACTGAGGAGGAAGATATGAGGTCCTAGTTGTGGATCATGAAATATTTAGAGTCTGGGTACCCATGAGTTAGAGGAGGATTTGCTGAGGTCATTTAGGTCTTCATTCTGAAAAGGAAAACAAAAGAATTTATTACCACAGACATCTCAAAATACACCATCATTGTTTAGACCTCTTCTTCTAAAAGAGGCAGTGTCAGATAAACTGAAGTTACAGGCACATATGGTACTGTGTGCCCCAGTAAAATCAACAAACTGTATCTAACTTTTTCATGTCTTTCAAAATGTAAGAGTCTAAAGCAATCACAAATGAAAAGTAGTCAATATTTAATCAGTAAACAACAAATCAACATGATCTGGGTGTTTCAGAGGTTCAGCAACAAAAAGATACAAAATAAATGCCCATCGTTGGTATTGCATAAAATCACTATAAAATATGGTGAGCAGGTTATAGTCAGTCTATGCACAATCTTTTGTTTGTTTGCTTGTTTTTTGGTTAAAAGCTGCAGATTTTAGAATTTAAAGCTGCAGAGATTAACATTGCAAAATCTGAAATCAATTTTTACTGGGACATTGCTTGGCATAAAATTTTAGATGCAAAAAGGGACCCATGCAAAACAGACCTAGTTAATCATTAAATAAGAAAAGAAAGGAACTCAGATTTAAGTGTAACAAAAACAAGCTACTTAGGCAGAAGCACAGTATTTCTTCTATGCAATTCAAAGACACATTATCCATAATTCCCCTTCAGAAAGAAGACCCTTTTTCAATCTCACAAAGCATCTTTTGCTCTCAAGTATTATACTAAATGACAGTCCTTCAGAGGTCCATATTTTTCATGCATCAAAACTTATCTATAAATATCAATATTTAGAATGCCCTGAAGAGTATTTGGCACAGAGTAACCAGTAAATACTTGTTGAATGAGTAAATGGGTGCAGTGCTATGGAGAGTACAAAGTTGAATTCTGCTACCAACCCTGCCTTCCAGAAATTCTAGAAAGGAAGGTAGGCTAAGTTCATAAACAGAATGCAAAATAGACATCAGTAAATTTCATGATAGATGCACAGGGGAAAAAAGTTCTAGACACATGGAAGAGGGAAAGAATACTTCCAGTGAGGACTATAAGAAAGCACATGGCAGACACAAACTTGGCTTGTTTGGAAGAAAAAAGATAATTTGGGGATGTGGAAACAAGGATAGCGTTTATGTTGCTTCAGTTTTACACCTCCATAACACATCACAAGGCCTGCCACACAGCAGGGGCTCAATAAGGTCAAGTTGAACAAATGACAGGGAAAAGGACACTTCCCATTGAGAGCACTGGACAAAACAAAGCCCAGGGGGGTGAGAAGGCAATCACAGACAGGCTAGTTGTGGCTTCACCAGACCACAAGGCTTCTGAAGAGGGATAGAAGTTGTCAAGTCTACAAATGTAGATGGAAGTAGAAAGTGAAGAGCCTTGAATGACAGGCCAAGAGGTCTTTAATTTTAGAAACAGCAGGGACACGCACTGTCATATGAACAAGATGCAGCAGTAATAATGCACATCAGCTATAAGGGTTGCAGTAGCTTCTAAAATTCACATGACATAAATGTTGACCAACACTACTTTTTTCTCTCTCCTCTGGAAGGGAATGACTATGCATAGGATCAGCCATCATTATTAGTTTCATGATGGCTTTCAGGTAGGTCAAGGTTTATTCAATGAAGTCTGTAGTGTTATAAGATTTGTTTATCTAAAAATATTAACTCTGCTCTAAAAGACAGGTAAACAGACTATTTTTTTTACTTATTAAGAAGGCTTGCATGGAGACACCAATGCAAAAACAAACAAACAAAAAAAGCAGCATTCCAGGCTTATTCTTTAATTGCCAGAGAAACAGGATTTACTTCACTATGTCTTCACAAGTGCAAAGAAAAGCCCCTTCTCTCAAATGCCCAGTTGTATGCTGGGAAACTCCCCATGATGAACTCCAGATCTCTTATTTACTGTCAATTTTCTCCTGAACTCATATGGAAATGTTCTTACCAGAATATCTAGACATAGCTTAACATAGCTTCACAGTTCTGGGCCTAAAATTAGGCAGGGAGGCCACACTTTATTAAAGGACTTGTGACAAACAAAGAAACTGCCGAATATAAAATGAGGGGGAAGAAAAGGGCACACGGTATGTTTTTCATTTCAGTATCTGGCTTTCCTCCAGAAGGGCTGAATGAGCAGCTCAGTACAGGAACAAACTGTACCCAGTTTTATCATCACACGTGCCAACCTGCATGGATGCATAAGGGCAGAGACTGGGAGCCCTGTGAGGAAAGGAAAAAAATGTGGCTTCACTGGTGCCGAAATCTATTGCTTTGGGCCACTTGGAAACAAACCACCCCTGTCATTGTCGACAAGTACATTCAAAGAGCAAGAAATAAAAGGATATATCAACTCCATCATATACCTTCTTTCTGAAATCTTCACATTATTACTTTCCAAAGCCCTTTATCATATATCCTGATCAATGCTTGTCTCAGTCATAAATACTGCCCTGATGGTGCCATCAACTAAGGAGTCTATGAAAAAGTAAAAGCAAATGGCAAAATGTGAGGCCACATGGCGGGCATGGAACAGAAGGTGGCCCACAGGTAATAGAGACCTGGAAAATGTAAAGGGAAAGCATGAAGTTCACATCTGTTTGTCTTTGTACAGGATGTGTGCATGTGTGTGTGTACATAAAGTTTCGCTATCAAGTAATGACAAGGACATCCCACAGTGAGAACTACCCTTCACAGCGGCCACCTTGGGGGCTGCATACTTATTCCAATCATGCAGTCATTGTTTAAAGCATTTTTGGAATGCCTTCTCAAGTTCTCATTTCTTTTTTGCAACTGCCTTCCCAGCCTTGGGCATATTCTTTTGAATGGTCTCTATAGCAGCCAGTCTTAGCCCTTTGAGGACATGTTTGATCTTTGGGGACAGCCAAAAAACTTTGAGAGCCAAATATGGTAAATAATGGGACTGATTAAGTGGGTAATAGTTCCCAGCAAGGTATTATCTAAACCCAAAGAGCTCCAACACCGCAGTCAAAAGCAGAGTTGTTCAGGACAGTTGCTCTGAGTTTGTTGGAAAGGAAGTCTCATAACTTCAGAGACAGACCTCAATATGCACTTAATGAAACTAAAGTTCATCTGCCCATATCCCTACTGCTACACACTTGCAATCAAGAAAGACTGAACTCGAATAAAGCAACTCACTCCAAAAAGGTAAACACACACACACACACACACACACACACACACACACACACACTACACACACACACACTACACACACACACACACACAGATGCACACATACATACACTCATATATACATATATACATAAATATATATGCTCACACTATTTGTGTAACTTAGGAATGTTTACAAAAAGAAAAAAGCAATGCCTACATTACGCTCTTGCAGTCATTCAATTCAATAAACATCTGGTGAGTGACAAACACAAATGCAATGATAAAGACTGGAATAAGTACCGTTAAAAAGTGAGAGAGGCATACATGTGTTTAACGCACTTTATAAGACCCCAGTTGATTGACTCCAATCACAAGTAGCAAATATTGCTACAATGTGTTACAAACACAAAAACTCATCTGTAACAAGCAGAGACTGGAAACAAAAAAGCAAAACATTTCCTTTAGAGAAGACACTGTACAAATATCAAGTGATAATGTTCCTACAATCCATTCTCTCTAGTTACATCATTGGGGAATAACTTCTGAACCCAGAAATATGATGCACCTGTCATGAGATTTAGTAGCAGGAAATTACATTTTGACAAAATTTCATCACCACATCAGTATCTACTATACCCTTCTGTGTGTATCTCCTTGTAAGATAAAATCCACCTAATCCTGTCGCCTGTAATGAAAAATGTAATTTTTAAAGCATTATCAAATAAGTCAACACTTGAGCAATGCTACTTGAGACCTATGGATTATTGCATTATTGCATCCAGGAAGAATTTGCATCTTCTGGACTCTACCCACTTAAACTATGCTACTATAGCTGAAAAACAAATAAGGCCTTTGCCTCCTCTCATATTGTCTCAAGATTAGTTTTTACTGTGAGAGCAACTGAAAACAGCAAAAGGTGAGAATATAAGTATGATGGAAGGATCTGTTCCACCCTTTCAGCAATACGTTTTTAGTCAAAATCATTGACAAGTATTTTTATCTTCTGTCGTGTTTGAAACTTGCCAATGTGTTGAGTCAAGTGCAACATAGTAATAAAATTTTGGTTAGGACATTGCTGGTAGTTTCTACTTTTGCTAGAAAATAGCAAAATATTGTAAGTTACTTGGATATTGTCATATACTAAAATGTAGCCAGAGGGTAACCCTTCCCCATCCAACTGTGTGAGTGGATTGCCTGAGCCCGCAGATTGGAGAGCAATGTGGGCACTTTGGCAAGACCTCATCTATACAATAAATCAAAAATTAGCCAGGTGTGGTAGCGTGCGCCTGCTAGTTCCAGCTACTTGGAAGGCTGAGGTAGAAGGACTGCTGGAGCCGAGCAGGTTGACGCTGGGGTGGCCGCGAGTGTGCCACTGCACTCCAGCCTGGGCAATAGAGTGAGACTCCAACTCCAAAAAAATGACCGTAGTAATGACTTTTCTTCAGTGGAGACCATTGTTTGAAATCTTATATTGTAGATTCAACTAGAAAAATCCATATATTTAAAGTCCCCTGCTTAAAGAAATGCGTCAAAACAGTACATTTCTCTTTCAGTTAACATAAACAGCTATTTTAAAAAATGATATCTTGAGTATAATACAGAAAATGTATAAAGTACTGGAAAAGGTAGAGAAGAAATAAACATTATTTGTAATTCTTCTTTTTTTTTTTTTTAAAGCAGGATTTATTGAGAGAACAAAAAAGCTCCCACAGTAGGAAGGAACGCGAAGGGGTTGCCCCTACTTGTAAATCTTGTCACCCAGGGAAAACCACTATTCAGCTGTGGTTCTAATTTCACTATTTACTTAAAGGATTTGAACTTTTAAAATTATGCATTTGGCCAGGCTCGGTGGCTCAGCCTGTAATCCCAGCACTTTGGGAGGTCGA